GCCCCCGGTGACATGTGTCGGTGGGGATGAATGAGGGGAAGGAGATGAGCATCTCATGTCCATCAAGCACCAGTTTTTCACAGCGATTTTTTTTTTCTTCTCCTTTCCCAGGCGCTAGCGAAAGCATCTGGTTCTCCCCTGCTCCCCGGGGGGCACAGACCGCTGCCCACCCCCACCTCCCCGGGGGTCCGGGGTGCCCCCGCACCGCTGTGATTATCGCGGGCTCTGGCCGCCGTCCCGACACAAGCAAACCCCCCCAAAATTCCCGCTCGGGGAAGTGGCAGCACAGACGAGGGGGGCTGCTCCCCCCGGCCGGAGGGGGCAGTGGGTGCCCCCCATCCGCCTCACCCCCCAACGGGAACCCCGACCCAGAGCAGGCGTTTGAGAGGAGAAAGTGCTCGCGCTTGTTTCCAGCAGGATCCGAAAATCAAACCCCGCTATCCCCAGGCTCCCTCGAGTCCTCTGTGCCCCCCAGGACACTCGTGTCCCGGCGTGGGGCACCCACAGGAGCCCCAGACGGAGGGGAAAAATCCCCCAAAGCCACGGGATGGGCGGCACAGTCCCCTCCTAGGGCCGGGCCTCTGAGTCGGGGTGGATTTTTTGTTTTTCACTGCATCTCGCAATTCGCCCAGATCCGTTCCCGGCCGGGTCCGAGCCCCCAGCCCCGGGCGGGACCGAGCCCACCCGTGCTCAGCAGGGAGCCGGCCGGGATGTTCCAGAGCAACCTCGCTCGGCCTCGGTGAGGGACATTAAAAGCGTACAAAAAGAAAGAAAGAGAAAAAGAGGGACATCAGAAGATGTTTTTAAAAGGAGAAAATTAAAAAGTAAAAAAAAAAAAATTAATAGAGAAAAAAGGTTAAAAAAACAGAGAGAAAGTAAAAGAGTAAAAAAAGAAAAGAAAAAGGAGTGAAAATAAAAGACTAGAAAACCAGACAAAAAAACCCAACCAAACAAACAAAAAGCCCGAACACAAACTCAAATTCATTTTAAATCTAATACAGAAGGAGGGGGGGAAAGTCCTTTTCAGGCGAGTTTAAATTTGCATTTTATTGGTGTCGTTCCCGTCTTTTTAGTTAAACATCACCCTGTTTATCATCCCCCTTTCCCCACCGCTGCGCTGGGTAATGGGATTTCTCTCTCCTTTACGGTGCACCGGTGCCGTACAAACACCGGAGCCCTCTCGCCGAGGACCACCGCGGTGCGTTGCGGGGCATCCCCGCATCCCCAGCTGCTCCCTCCCTCCAAACCAGACAAAAACTTCCCTCCCACGCGCTCGCAGACACTTTCCACCATGTCCCTCCCCCGACAGCATTAAGTTTTCCCCTCTTTCCCTGTTCATTTTTAATTTGATTTTGTTCTTTTTTTTTTCCCCGTCCTTTTTAACCTTTCACAACGACCGCGCACGGGATCGGGGATGACACCGCGCTTTGCGCGACCGGCGGAGCCGGTGACCGGCAGCATCCCCGACGCGGGGGGAGGCCGGGGGAGGCCCTGAGTTCCCGTTCCGACCCCTCCGCATCCCGGTGGAGCCCTGCCCGGGGTGCGGGGGTCGCTCCGAGGCACCGCCGCGCTCCCCTCCGGGAGCTACCGGAGCGCCCCCCGCCACCCCGGGCAGCGCTGCGGGGGGACAGCCCGTGGAGAAAGTGGGGGTCGCATCTCTCACCCCCCTCCCCACCACTTTCCCCCGCAGAAAGAGCGCCTCCGCCTGATTAAATATATATGCGGTTAATGCACTATCCAAATATTGAAGTTAAGATGTAATTAAGCCTGTAGAACATCCCCGCGCAATAAACCCCATGGCTGGACAGGATCCGTCGCCAGGTTTGTTTTAAAAGAGCTTTTTAAAAAAAAAAAAAAAAGAAAAGAAGAAGAAGAAGAAAAAAAAGGATCTTTAAATTATGTATTAGAGGGTCCCAGTTTATCCTGCCACACTCGGGTCGATGCTGAGGGTAAACACGGCACTGTCCCCCCCGGCTCCGCTCGCCTTTCCCTTTTCTTTTCTTTCTTTTCTGTTCATTTTCCTTTTTCTTATTTATTTTCCTGCCCCCCCTCCCCCGTGATTAGCCCTCCCGGGTTTCTTCCCACGTCGCTAAATGTTGTCGCTTACACTCCAAGCTCATGCATTGTTTATGCGAAATATAGTTAATAAATAATTACAAATCCGAGGTGTGCGGCTCTGCCTCTGACTGACGGGAAAGTGGCCGGGAAGGGGCCGGTGGTGGCCGGGGGGGGTCTCCGAGCCCGCCCGGGAGCGGGGCCCGGCGGGGCAGCCTGGGGGGCTTCGGGGCGAGCCCGGTGGGGGGTGCGGGTGTGTGAGAGCTGAGCGGGGTCCTTCGCGTTGTTAAAGGGCGGATAAAAGACGAATAAAAGAGAAAAGAAAGAAAAGTGAAGTGGTAGCGGGGCGGGGGGGGGGGGCTATAAAAAAAGAGGGTGAAGCGAACCCCCGGAGGATGCACCGCTCCCGGCTCATCCATCTTCATTGTCTCCGTGTGTGCAAAAGCAACTCCAGTCTAAGGAAAAGCCACTATCAAAGCCATGGCTTTATTTTATATCCTATAGATCAGGAGGGAGGCAAAGCTTTATTTTCGCCCAGAGACAGATATTTTATTTCTCTCTTACGGTTTTATGTGTGAGAGATGTCAAAAAGGTAAAATAGATTGCTAATGCATAGGCAAAACGAAGCTGTTTTGGCATGCTCTGTGTCAGGAGGGCTCCCAGGGAGCGCGGGCTGGGGATTTAGGGCTGATGGGGGACTCGGGGGGATTCTGCTAAAACATCTCTCTCCATAAATCCAGCCGCGTGGTCAGCGCGAGCGGCAGAAGGAGTTTTAAAGGGGAAGAGTTGGGGCGCGGTGGAGCGAGCGGGGACCCCCGCGACCCCCGGCCCCGCCGCCCCCGGCCGCCCCCGTCCCGTCGGGGCTCCGGGGGGTTCCAGCGGTTGTTCCCATCGCTTCTCCCGGCGGAGCTGCGGCGCTGGGGACCCCTCGGCGACGCTGCCGGCGGCACAAAGCGCTCCCGGCTCATCCCGCCCGGCCAAGACGAACCCCCACCACCCCCCAAACCTCCTCCTCGTTTTTTCTCTCCCGAACAAGCACCCACTCCCCGACATCGGTCTAAGCCCCGGAGCGGCGGCTGCTCAGCATCTGCCTCCCCGACCCCGGCAGCGAATCTGCACGGACCTTTTCCAAAGTTAAAATATATCTCCCCAAGCTGCAACAATTTTCATACTTTTTGACCTCGGGGATTTACTTAGCACGTTAAGTTCAAGGCTCAGAAGCCCAGGGCTATTACTCATTTAGGCACTCCCACCACCAACACTTTTCACCACATATTTTATCATTTGACTTCCTGGCTTAAATTCATGTTATGGCAAATAATGGATGGTAATACTTTCCCCCTTCCCCATGTTAATTGTCTTGTCTGACAGCCTCCGCATTTGAAGTGATTTAAAGCAAACAAGGGTGCAGCGAGAGCAGGAGACAAACCAGCACAAAACCTCTGCGGGAGCCCTGCGGCTCCGGCTCTTCCCTCCCAGGTTGGGGGCTGGATCCAGAGCACAGCAAAGCCCCCCCCAAAGCGTCGCCCAGTTCTTGCTGGGGTCACTGCCATGCAGAGGCTGCTTCCCCCCAGTGCCCTGCAGCCCCCGGGGTGACATGGGGGGGGGCTCGGGCCTGCCTTGGGCCCCTCTGGCTCTGCTGCCCAAAATATTGCTTCCTCGAGGTGGCTGAAATGGGAAATCAAACCAGAGCGCTATTTGCAAATTAAAAAAAGCAAGGTGTAGTTGATTAGCAAATTAATTATTTCAGTACCCCCAGGATTATATTGTTTTTCTAAGTTCTGTGGGCCTGTGTAATTTACTAATTTCACAGTCGCTGAACTTCCCTGGGAGTGAGAGGCAACCTCCCCCACCTCTGACACGTCCTCGGGATCCTGCGTGGAGGCAGCGGCTCCATCGGCAGTGTCAGAGGGAAGAGGGTGCCCAGACCTTTCCCTCTGCTCCTGCCACTGACCTGCTGCCTGACCCTGGCCAAATTCTTTGTTTCTCTTCTGTCTGAGGTGGACAGTGCCTTCCTTCCCAACAGAAGCAGCTCCTCCAGCTTAGAAAGCAGTAAGCACAGAGGTTTTCCTCTACCCAACACTATCACTGGTTTCCTGTATCTGTATGGAGAAAGGGCTGCTGCCTTACTTGTCCTCCACAAGCAGCTGGAGAAGAGAATTCACAGCCTAAAAGGGTTTTTGTCACCAGCAGAATGTCAGTTTTTGGTGTCTGACACCATCATCACACAGACCATTTGGGGAAAATAACTGAAATCCAAACAAACAGGACTATGCCAAAAAAAGGCAGGGATAATATGCCTGCAGTGGTGGGAAACCAGCGCTGCCCTCTGCCTACCTGCCACAGATGCAGGAGCAGGGCTTGGTTTGGGGTGATAAAAAAGCATCCCCTGGACCAGGTACCACAGAACCACGAGCTTCCCTCGCCAGGTGAGACAATGGATCCAGAGCTCCTGGCTGTGTTTCTGTCTGTCTGCTTAGTCCTGACTAATCTTCTATATATAGATTCTGTTTGTAACGTTACTATATAATATCCTATTTGTATAGGTTTCTATTTTAAGGGTTCTGAGAGGCCACAGAGGTTCTGCCCAGCCTGCCTTTCCCCACTTTATTGGCCACACACAAACCCAGGCAGCTGGGTTAGTGCAGTTTGAGCCCAACCATGTTCCTGACTCCCGGGTGCCTCCAGCCCAGCACGAAATTTTGTCTGCTTGGGACAAGTGGCCAAGAGCCAGGTAAGAGGCAGCTGTGGTGTGGGAGCCCGTGGCTGCAAGTGCTGGGAATGTGGAGGGAACCAAAGAGGTCACTGCACGCTCCAGGCAGGGCTCGTTAGCGCTGCACTGCGTGTGGAACCTGAGCTGCTAATCGAGCATCACCACCCCACTGGCATGGAACTGGAGCACGGCAACAAGATGTGGTCAAACACATTGTTTTATAAAAAAATGCACATTTTTTTATAAAAACCCTGCTCCCTTCCCCTCCTCTGTGAGAGGAGCCCTGAGCTTTGCTGACGCACACCAGCCCATCTCGGTGCGACAGCGAGGATGTGGCACCCACAGTCCCATTACTCTGAAATGCATCAATATACTGTGTTCGAGACAAAAACCCAGATCATCTTGGTCTAGAATGTGAAATTTTACCAGTTCCAGCTATTTTTTTCCAGGAGAAGCTGAGCTGCATTGCCGTGAGGGTCCTGCCTGCCAGTGCTCTGCTGTCCCCCCGCTGTGCTCCAGGACAAGCACCCACACAGGGCAGAGCCACACGCTGGCACTGCCACGGACCAACCCTCCGTGCTCAGAAGCTCACTTTAAAAAACACAGATTGTTCTAAAATAATCCTTCCTCGGCATCACTGGGCTGTTATTCCAGCCAGGCCTGGCAATCCCTGCCAGTGTCACTGTGTTGGTGAGGCAGCCCAGGAGGGCATGGGGGGGAGCAGCTTCTCGAGGGCCAGCCAGAGATGGACACAACCCAAACCTCCCAACTCCCACTTAGACACACTTCACCTCTCAGCTCCCTTTTTTACTGTCTTCCTTGGTGGGTGGGGTAAAAAAACAACCCTCCAGACCCCGTGTGTGTTACTCTCTCCAGGGCTGGACATGTCTCCAGAGCCTGGCACGGGGCATTATCCGCACTGGGAACGCAACCCCACAGCAGCATTATCATTCCAAAGTGGCAAAAACATCACGCAAAAGGCTGCTCACCCCTGGCTTTGTTGTGCCACGGTCTGAATCAGCCCTTTTCCTGCTGGATGCTGTCAGTTGTGTGTTGCTCTCCTGGCAGCTGGCTGGGAACATCCTGCACTGCAGCCGCTCACGTCAGCTGCTCCCAGGAACATGCTCGGGGCCGCACACCCAGCCTGGCTCAGCGGGAGCCACTCCCTGCTCCTCTCCCTACCCACGACCCTTCTCAAGTCACTGGGTTTGTCACTCATGAGTTACTGGGGACTGAGGGCTCTGTGTCAGCCCAGTCCTGGTGTGCTCCTCTCATCTCTCTCTATCCACAGGTGGAAGTGTCTCCAGAGAGCAGAGGCCGAGGCACCCACAAATCAGCGTAACCATGGAGGCACCGGAGGCTTTTCCTTACAAACAAGTAAACCTTGTTCTAAATGTAGAGTCCCTTATTTATCTGCACTTCCTTTAGGGGCAACCCCAAACCCTAGTGAACAGATTCACAAAGTATCTTCCTCCTGCCTGGGAAATGTCACCATTTTCACTGAAGCCAAGGAGCTGTTCTGTGCTGGTGAAAACGGAAACTCCCCGAGATGTTCAGACTCGGAAACTGTGAGTCTGCAGAATTCCCAGCCAGTGTGGGTTTTTTCAGTCACTGAAATAAAAACTACATTGCTGTAATTAGTTAATATTTGTAAACCCCTTAAGATTGCAGAATAAATGGTTGAAAGAAATTCTCATGGTTATTAGATAAATGTGTTAATAATAACGGCGATGGCTGGTGAGGACACGTCGCTCCTAATGATGTACAATTTATTTCCTTAAGACTGTACTAATAAACAAAACTTGCTTTTAAAATCTGATGTATTTATTCCATATATGCTCTCAGATCAAAGGAGTTTCTCTCCCCACAGCATGGTCTTCCTCTTCTCCCTCCCTGAAATCTCTCATTGACTCTTGCCATGCCATGATGTTGATAACAGGACACGCACCCCTCCCCACTCAGCACCCCACATATTAAACGCTGTTGCCCTTGGATGCGGCCTGACATCCTGCTGCCAGCACAGGGACATCCCAAAGGGTCACTGAACCTCTGTGATGGAGTGTTGGTGTTTGTCCTCATCCCAACTTGGGCTTTGCAGGGAATCCCTGCATGGATCTCCAAGTCATGGTTCTCTCCAACCAACCTAAGCACACACCGCATGTTATGTCCCTGTTATCACTTCTCCTGTAAAACCAGAGAAGCTGCTCCAGGGGAGCACTGTCACGAAGGACAGTGTTTCCTTTCCCTTCAAGGGCCAGCCCTCAGCTCTCACAGCAGCTCCATGCCCGTGGTGCCTGTGCACAAGGTGAGGAGCAGCAGGGAGCGGCGCCGGGCTCTGTGCCGATGGAGCTGTGCGCAGAATCCCTGCCCTCGCCTGCCTCTGCACAAAATCGATAGGGTGCTAATTCCAAACAAATCTTTTCTGCATACCTGCAGGAGATTATGTCCCTGCCCCGGGAAGCACACACAGGGACAGGTTCCCTTCCCACCTCTGACCACAGCCTGGACGAGTCCTGTGGCGCTGCGGGGCCGCTCCGGTGTTTGAGGAGCGGTTTAGGGCTGTGTGTGCTCTGCAAAGGAGATTTCCTACTGCTGCTTTTAAACCCCCCCATTAATATTCCACAGGGCTGGTGCTTCACGCGGGAGGGAAATGCCATTTCCAAATACCGATGCCGTGCTCATTCCCTCATTTGAATTCGAGCACTTTCGTACGCAAGACACCGACTTGTTTGGCTTTCAGAATGACCACGGGAAAGCTTTTTCCAGTGGCAATACTTAAAACAAGTCACTGCACACCGACAGGGACAGTCGTGTTTGGGGTCCTGATGCCACCCAGGACACCAGGGTGTCATTTGGGGTGACTCCTGCATCACTGCAGAGCCCTGGGAGGTGAGTGTGCACCACCTTTGCTTTCCAGAGGGAAAGCAAGTGGAGGTAGGCACCCATAAAGCATCCTGACCCTTCAGATTTTTGTGGAAATCCCTGCCCTGGATGCTCCAGGGTCATGCCAGGGCTGTGCCTGGTGCTTGGTGCCCAGCTGAACACGTGCCATCCCCAGGCAGACACAAACACGCAACCAGGCTGCTACTCACACAGGCTGTAATAATGCACGAGCGTTTCAAATTCAGACAGAGAGAGGAAGAAAAATGTTTGAAAAGAGCAGTTTTAGAATTTTATAATTAACAGAAAATACCCTGTCCTTGGGCATTCCCCCCTGTGAGGTCCAGCTCATCCCAGGGAAGGGTGTGAAGCTGG